AAGTTTTGTGGATTTGAGTTTTGATCGGAGGTAAACGTTTTGGGGGGGGGAGTTCGCGATTTGATGATTTAGGGTTTGTAATTTCTCGATTGGATGTTTTTCACTATCTCTTCAGTTTCTTCTCTTCGGTGTTTTGAGTTTCTTTCATGTCTTCTCCACTGATTTATCGGGCTTAGAAGCTCTAGGTAAACCCTAATTTCTTCTTTTACCGTACTCGAATCATCGGATCTGTGTTTACTTCGTGTTCTTCACTTCTTTTTATTCTGGGTTTTGCTTTTATTCAGAGCTACTGGCTCTATCGGAATGAAAGTTTGTGTGGTGAAGTCTATGATCTGTAGCTTCATCACTCTTAGGACTTTACAGTTATCAAATTTGTTTTTTTTTTGTTGGTTCTGTAATGGCTATGGTTTTTTGCTAATTTATTGGTGAAATAAAATTCGAATCTGATAATGAATTTTTCACCTTTCTTCGTTTTTCTTAATTCAGGGTTTGCATGGTGTAGATGATCACGAGTTCTTAAAGAGCTAAAGGTGTTATTTTGTTTCAAGGTTCTTGCTTTCTTTTCACAAGTAAGTCTTTCTTGTTTCCTGCAATTAAAATCGAAAAGATGTAATGTTTCTTACCAAACATGATTATAGTAAGAACGTTATACTGTTGACACTAGTTCTGTGAATGTATTGAGAAATTGCTATTTGTGTCTCTTTCCTTTTGGGGCATGTTGAAGCGTGATTGCTTTGTGTCGTCATCTTTAGTTTACCTTGCAGGTTGGTTAGAGAACGTAAAACCGAGATTGGAAAGATGCTCGAGGGAGCAAAGTTCAACGTGCTAGCTGTTGGGAATCACAACAACGACAACAACTACTATGGTTTCACAGAAGAGTTCTATCAAAAGCTAAATGAAGGTACAAACATGTCCATGGAGAGTATGCAGACGAGTAACGCTGGTGGATCTGTATCTATGTCTGTGGATAACAGCAGCGTTGGTTCCAGCGATGCTCTTATTGGCCACCCGGGTCTGAAGCCATTGCGACATGTCTACTCGCTCTCCGTTGGGCAAAGTGTATTTCGCCCTGGAAGAGTTACCCACGCCTTGAATGATGATGCCTTAGCTCAAGCGTTGATGGATAGCAGGTTTCCAACTGAAGGGCTGGCGAACTATGAAGAGTGGACGATAGATCTGAGGAATCTCTACATGGGTCCTGCTTTTGCTCAAGGTGCTTTTGGTAAATTATACAAAGGGACATACAATGGGGAGGATGTAGCGATTAAGATACTTGAGAGGCCAGAGCACAGCCCTGAAAAGGCACAGTTCATGGAACAACAGTTTCAGCAAGAGGTGTCTATGCTTGCAAATTTGAAGCATCCCAACATCGTGAGGTTCATTGGTGCGTGTCGCAAGCCAATGGTTTGGTGCATAGTGACTGAATATGCCAAAGGAGGTTCTGTGAGGCAGTTTTTGACAAAGAGACAGAACCGAGCTGTGCCTTTGAAGTTAGCTGTTAAACAGGCTTTGGACGTCGCTAGGGGTATGGCCTATGTCCACGGACGCAACTTCATACACAGAGATCTCAAGTCAGATAACCTCCTCATCTCAGCTGATAAGTCAATCAAGATTGCAGATTTTGGTGTCGCGAGAATCGAAGTTCAAACCGAAGGGATGACACCAGAAACCGGAACCTACAGATGGATGGCTCCGTAAGTTTCCAAACTGATTCTTGCTTTTGATTACCTTTTTACCTCTTTCTGAGTCATTCATGTCTCTATGCAAGTTACATAAATATAGTTTTGGTTGATGGATGCAGAGAGATGATACAGCATAGAGCCTACAATCAAAAAGTGGATGTGTATAGTTTTGGGATAGTGCTGTGGGAGTTAATCACAGGACTTTTGCCATTCCAGAACATGACAGCTGTACAGGCTGCGTTTGCGGTTGTGAACCGAGGAGTGCGTCCAACGGTCCCAAACGATTGTCTTCCGGTGCTAAGTGATATCATGACTCGATGTTGGGACGCAAATCCAGAAGTGCGACCATGTTTTGTGGAGGTTGTGAAGCTGCTTGAAGCTGCAGAAACAGAGATAATGACGACAGCTAGAAAAGCCCGTTTCAGATGTTGCATGAGCCAGCCAATGACGATTGACTAAATAATCCCC